TCATTTTGATTTGTTGCGTTGTTTTTCCTAATGACAGCCTGCCAGAACCTCCTGTAATTCAAAAAGTGAGAACCATTCAAAAACAAAAATTCACAGTAGAAACAAACTGAACCATGGTTCAATTTGATCCGAACTGAGAGGTTTCATGCCTGTAATTCTGGTTCGGATCAAACGGAAAAGTCTGAAAAGTCCGGACCAAACAAGGTAAGTATGAAAGGGCCCAATAATGTCGATCATAGAGATAAGGAAGTGAATGTTAGAACGACTGGGAATCTTTCCCTCCTGAGAGCCCTTTAGAGAGACCCAAGTGCCCCTCCAGTGTGACCTTGAACCCTGAATGACTGTTTCTCAAACTCCTCATTGCTTCCAATCTGACAACCTAAAAAGAATTCTGATCCACTACGCACTTTTCATGCCTTTGTATGAGAACAAACCCTTTGTCACAGAAATAGTTTATAAATCTGTTTCAGTGCAAAAACACACACTAGTGAGCAAAACATGCAGTGGAGAAATAAAGATAATTTTTAAAAGGGTAGGTCAAGTTTAAAACTACCCTGGTGCTAATGGATTAGAAGGATTCTTTCTTTCTGACAACTGCATTTATGCCGGAGAGACGCGGGCAAACACACATGAATCAGTATGCATGTACACACACATATGCAGCCACACTCAAACACACACCTCCTGTCAAACACACACACCATTTAAAGCAGTAAAGTGCAGTCTCATCGGAGTGGCAGGCAGACATCCTGAATAAAATGGAGTGGCATTAATATTAATACCAGTAAAGTGCCTTTATAATCAGACAGTGGCCTGTCAGCTGGCCAAGTGGGGCTGCTAGCATGTCACACACACATACAATGAAGAGTTGCTGACTGAGAGACGCACGCATATAACCACACATACAACATGCAAACAAATACACACACAACGTACCTTCTGTTCACTGTATATTGTATAGACAGCCACGTGAATGTATGCACACAGGTAGATTTTCATGTTAACACACACAAACAATGCCATACCATCAGGGGCCCAATGGATCACTGGTCATTGATGGATTTCTGGAATGTGATGGATGTGAGACAGACATTCTAAAACATATCAGGTAAATCAGGGAACAATATGAGATTTTATAATTTACTCATTTTATAAGGTTTTACTAGATCGTTTTCCTACCTTTTGGCCTTCACTCCTCACACCTTCCACTGTGGTCTTTCAAGACTATTCAAAAATAATTTTACCCAGAGTTCTACTATAGTTGCACAAGAGTGGATAATCTAATGCAAGCCAGTGAGACTGGTGTGAATAAGAATGAAATCTAATTTTCCAAACAAAAAAGTGAACTCCTACACACTGTCAGCACAAGATGTAACAAACAGTACAATAAGCAGCATCTTAATGCAATTGCTACAGGCTACATTAACCAAACACAAAAGGTGTCAAATTACAGGAACACATGAGACAATTAGACACTCAAAAAATTACTCCAAATGCATAAATAAGTCAAAACACAGTCATGAAAACACCAAATAGCACATCTGCAAATACAGTTTAAACAAGATATTAAAAGAAATACAGGAAAGGTACACAAAACATACAATAAATATAGACATTTAATAGCAAAAAATAAAATAAAAAGGGAGGGTGTGTGTTAGCACTCTGTCTAGGTACCATAATGTCTAATAATAATAAAGTTTGTCAGGATTTTTATACTGCTTCCCTGTTGATGTGGTTGTTGAAACCTACTGAATACCACATAGTAAAAATGTTATTAGTCAGGTTGTAACAAAAATGAACAAACTTCGTAGGAGTCAAATGTTGGGGTCATGAAAAAGGTCTAACATGAAATGTAAAACTTTAGAAAACCTGAGTAAATTCACACCGTGGCCACAGTGGGCCCTCTGACACCAGTTAGCATGGACACAGAAACCACACACACATTCCGCCTTTTCTTGAAATCTGTGAACTGATATGCCTGAATCATTGCATATTCACTATGCACATACCTCCCACAGTAGGGAACAGGCCTGGCTCTGAGGTTGTAAATAAAACGCTGGCTGATGTCTCCAAAGAAGCTCCAAAGGGAGACAGAGAGCTCCAGAGCTGGTCGTGTCCATAAAACAGTGAAATACTGTAAGAGGTGATGGCAGCAGCTATGAAACAGGACGCTCTGAGCATTTCCAGATGGACCTCACCACCACTAGGCTAGAACACCCACCACACAGAAAGCAGGAGAAGGGGGGGCTTCTCAGGTATTCACTCCCTCTGGAAGACATTTTGTCTTATCTGTGAAATTAGTGCTATTGCCCCAGCAACATTTTGAGGCCAAAAGATAAAACAGTAGAAATGAATTTGAAGCAAGTTGTTTGCAAAAAGTCAGTGTGAACACGTAACAGACCAGAACTAAAGGCAACAGTTTAGAATTTTTTCTCTTGGTCTGGACCAAATGAACCAAACTAAGGGTGTGAAAGTGCCCTTTATGACTAACCTTTCCGAACCTTAACTACAGAGGTGGCCATGCTACCAGCATGGCTCTAGGGATGGAACTGTCTGTCTGTTGGTTGGATGGATTGCTATGAAATGTTGTACAGACGTTCATGGTCCCCAGAGGACACTCTTGTATTGACATCAGTGATCTTCTGACCGTTCATCTTGCAGCACCATGAGGTTGACTTTTAAGTTCTTTATTGAAATATATTGACAACTACTGGATAGATTGCTGATACATTCGGTGCAGACATTTGTGGTCCTCAATAATAACTAATAATAATAACTTGGATCTGTCACTTTAATCTTTGATCTGTTAGTCATTCTGGCCAATACTTGGATTTATGCATTCCCATCAGCCCCTCTGTACTTTGTGTTTAGTGTTTATTAGCAAATGTTAGCATTGTAACACGCTAAACCAACAAGGTGAACATGGTAAACATTATGCCTGCTAAACATTAACATGCTAGTTTTATCATAACCATGTTAGCATGCTGATGTAAGGCTTTGGTTCAAGTACAGCCTCATAGAGCCACTAGCATGGCTGTAGACTGTAAGTCTTGTTTGTCTTAATGATCATCAAGGCATTGAAAGATCCCTGTTTTGTTGTTGGGTGTGTCACCATGACACATGAGTAAAAAGGTGTTTGTCTAAAAAGGTTTGTCTGGTTATCATCTTTGGATTATGAAAATTCTACAACCTCAAAAATGCAGTAATTTTCCTGACATATTGACATTTTGTAAATTAAGTGCAGGATGTCTCTGGTTTATCTTTTTTCCTTTCTTGGGCCACTTTTGATAGGTACTGACCACTGCAGACCGGGAACACCCCACAAGAGCTGCAATTTTGGAGATGCTCTGACCCAGTTGTCTAGCCTTTACAATTTGGCCCTTGTCAAAGTTGATCAGATCTTTACGCTGCCCATTTTTCCTGCTTGTAACACATTCTTTTGAGGACAAAATGTTCACTTGCTGCCTGTATCCCACCCGCTGACAGGTGTCATGATAGCGTGATAATCAGTGTTATTCACTTCACCTGTCAGTGGTCATAATGTTATGGCTGATCAGTTTATGTATATATATATAAGATGTATATAGATACAAGCAAATAGGTTTTTATATTCCATCTAAAAAGACAATGCCACTGACATTGACATATTGACATACTGACATATGAACATTATGAAATTCATTCCATATCCTATTATTTATTTCAGCCTGACAAAAAAATAACATTTGCATAGTACAACTACATAATCATGTTTAACCTCTTAATCCATAACCTAACCTCAAAGACAATGTTTTGCCCAGAACATTATTTATGTTTCAGAGTTTATGCTCACTTAAAAAAGGTCATGACATTGTATTTGAATATAATTTTTTTGTTTGTTTTACTAAAAAAAATATTTTACAACTGTTTCCTTCACCTTGGCATTTAAAGGGAGGAAGGAGGTTTAAACTTTTAATAATGGTATCACAATACTCTTCAATACAGTGTATTTGTACACTGAAAATAAGAGCACTTTCTGATGTTGATGTTGATGATTATCAATAATATTTACCATGTACAATGAGCTACAATGTTTTGTAGTGTGTGTTAATGACCACAGGAGGAAGCTCTCAGAACACAAGGACAAATGTGTTCTGACTGAAAGCAGTTCTTGGAAGATCAGGCAATCAATTTAGCAGATGTAAAACAAGATCAATTATGATGGAGTTGCAGGTTTACTCCCATAAACATCCCCCCTGCAGCCTGTGTGCCTTCTGGGTTTATTTGTTTAATGAATTATCTGCCTCTGTGTTCATGTGTGTGCAAAATACCTTTGCATAAATACCATTATGCAAGAATCACGTCTGGTTGACACATAATTCAATTTTGATTAAAAACTGTTGTGCAACTGTGCTTCATCAAAAGTCAAAAGCACAGTCATATTTCATTTTTAGCAACATGTCTCATAAATTGCTCATTAATTCAGTATTTTAAAATCAAGTGAAAGCAGAGGCAAAGCAGAGTTGGCACTCTTGGCTTAGGGTGTTGTATGCATTTTCATTTTCAAATCCTTTTGACAACAAATTATAAAGTAGGTGACAGTAGCCATTATCTAAGTTAGTATATGTAAGTGGAAGTTGACATAAATCATACAACAGAAAAGTCAAATGAAGACACAAAATTCACTTTTGCAGCAAGATGTGCAACTGCAATTGAAATTGTCATCTATACAGAATTATGGAATACAGTCGTGTGACGGGTTAACCACAAGATGGCGCTATTCCATTGGATGTAAATACATACTGTGCTGCTATAAGCTCTGTGGAGGTAGTATTTGGCTTATAAGGAGAAAAAGCATGGAGTAAATAAACATAACAAATTGTGTTTTGATGGAAGGAGCAAAAGTATAACAATAACGTTTCAAAAATTAAATAATTGCACTTTACATGTTTTTGAAAGACACAGGGAACAAAAGCTGGAAAGATGAGAATACTTTTAATTATGTTGCCATGTTATTTCATACATGTTCTCACTCAAACAGTTGGTCCCAGTTCTCAAAATTGAGGACAACTCAGAAAATGGCTGCCATTCCTGCAGACACTGTGCGTGGGTGTGTGTGCATACGCATTGTCTGACATAGTGGTGCTCACTTTGACAGTTTGCAGTCAGAAACAAACCTGAAAGAGCTCCGTCGTTCCTTTCAGATGTGACAGAAAGTGTACTATAAAAAACAACAACCACTTAGAAAGCATATGCAGTAACACCAAAACATACATAAACAGATTATTAAATGTCTTAATAAACACACTCAGACTTTTTACAAAAGGTACGTTTATGAAGAAATGTTACAGTACATTAAAACACGTCAGTCAGTAAACACCAAATAAGAAGGCATTGTTGTGTCTGTTTGTTTTTTTCAAGTGTACCAGATTGTCTCCCTTTAGTGGTGACAACACTTAATTGCCCCACTAGAACAAAAGAAAATGAATTAACAGTGTTGATATGACAACACTGTTGTGTGCTTTGATTCACAAACACTTCAGTCTCCTCCTTTCTCTGCAAATGTCAAGCAGCACTGAGTCAAGGACAAATACTGACTGGATATAAATTATAAATGCCTGAGTAAGTATTAAGACCTGAAATCTTTTTACACAGTAGAACAAAAAGGACAATGGAGAAACATTACATGACAACAAGAATGAAATAATGTTGAAAGACATATTTCACTTTGGCAAATGTCAATATGACTTGAATGCTTAACACAAAAGCACTGAATATCATGCATTAAGTACCTAAAGGGGGGGGTCTTGGTGCAAGTCTGCAAATTCATTTCATGCCATTACCTACTGTGTCTGCATGAGTGCATGCACGTATACTGTACATTGGTTTTCACACTGTGGTCCCTTTTAAAACATGATTAATCACACATTTCATATCATAAATTACAATATAACAAAAGCAAGCACAGAAAACATTATTTTGAGAAGACATTTTAGTGTAGTATGAAATATCACAAGAAACAACAAAAAGATATTTAAGTTATGGCATTTTCTTGAGTTAAGCTTTAACACCATCTGATACCTTGCCATTCATGAGAAAATTAAATCATTAAAATAAGTGCTAATGACTTAGATGAGAGAAAAGACATGCCTTCATCTCTCCCAAAAATATAAAACGTTTCTAGAGGAGAAAAAGTCCAGCGTTGCCTTGCCCCCTTCATTTAAAAGTCAGGTTATAACTTACATCACTGGATAATCACAGGTCACAGTATGAGGACATCAGTTATTCATCAGTTGTCACCTGACCAAGTAAGTCTTTTCAGAGTCATTCTTCCTGATCAAAAGGTCATATCTTTCATCATTCACCTTTCATCGCCTTTTCTCTTTTCTGTCGCTGCGTCCAATCACCTTGCGTATCCAGGAGCTGAAGGCAGAGACTTTGGTGTATACCCCAGGGGACTGCTGCGTCCGGCATGCATGGCCCCAGGACGTGACCCCGTAAACCACCCAACCCCCTCCCGGACGCTCACACACCAAGGGACCTCCACTGTCGCCACGGCAACTGTCCACACGCCTCTCCGACTGGATGCTGCCAGCACAGAGCATGCGGCTTGTGAAGGCACCATGGAAATGCTCCTGGCAGTGACGACGGGGAAGTAAAGAGAGCGGCGCCTGCTGTAGGGTCTTGGAGTATGAGCGGCCTGAGAAAGAGAGAGAGCGTTTAGAGTTTAGAGTGATAGGTCTGGAAGAGTGTGTGTGAGCATCTATGAGTTTATTATTGTTGTTATAAGTTGACCACCAGTGTAATTGCAGATTTTAAAAAAACTGAATTTTACTCTGAAACTACAAAACCATTTTTTTCTGCAGCCTTCCAGAAATTCTGTAATTTGTTTTAAAGCAATTCTAATAACATGACCTATTGATCCTCTAGTGCCACCAGCAGGCTGACATTTTTGGTTCAGAGAGAAATTTCTGGATTGCCTTGACATTTGGTCTATAGCTCATTCATGATGCCTATGGATCAATTGTAAAAACTGTGATCCTATGACCTTTCATCTAGTGCGATAAAAAATAAAAATTCTGTTTATTCAAACACTTATGAATAAACATATTATGTTTATACAGTTTATGACAAAATACCTACAAAACTAATGGCATTCCCATCAGTGTCAGCTGTAACTTTGTGTTTAGTGCTAATTAGCAAATGGTTGCACACTGACACACTAAACTAAGGTGGTAATGATCATCCCTGCTAAAAAATAAACATGCTAGCATAATTAGATTATCACTGTGAGCATGTTAGTATGCTGACTTTAGCATTTAGCTCAAAGCAGCCCTCTTAAGTCCAGCCTCACAGAATATGGCTGCGGACCCTTGTTTGTGCGTGCGTGACTGTGACTGGCTTTCTGTAATCTGTTTTCATTTTTACACTATTTTGACAAATTTGACATTAGTGGATGTGAAAGCACACAGCGTTCACCTGTGCATGACTCTCCTTGATTCAATGTCATTTATCACATTCTTAACAAGGGATATTTGACTTTTTTCAAGCATTACAGGGATCTAACTTAGAGGTTAATCAATTTCAACGTTTATGGAACAGTCTGACAGAACTTTCATTCCATGAAGGTTCCCATTACATATGCAGCCAATGCTTTACTTTTGGCCTGGGGAGGTTGTAGAAATGGCCTTCCTCTGATACACAACTACCAGCAAGGAGATTCATCTTGTGGCCAAAATGTGTTCAGAGGTTCAAACTATCTCCACGTATTATTCCCCCTTCTACTGGACCGGTAACTTGGGTGGTATGTATGTGCAAATTTGGTTGCGTGTGTGTGTGTGTGTGTTTGTGGCTGATAGCCAAATGCAAACAGCTATACAAAGCAGACATCTCGCCTTAACAGCCTTTCCCAACATCACACACTCTAAATAGCCTGTGTTGTCATCACACGTAAGTAAACTAACACTGTCTCCCACACACAGACACACACACACACACACACACAGGAATTCAATTCAATTCTGTATTGTTAAAATTTTGCTGATTTATGAATAAAGACAATTGTAGACACAGCTTCTATATTGTAATCGCCTGTCATTTATGACAGATTGTGATTATTAAACACTTGACACAAATTCATTAAACACTGCCAGCATGCAACCACAGCTAAAGTTAAAAGAAGCTGTGAAAAGATTAATGTGAAGTTGACAGTTTTCTCCATCAACACATTCAAACTGACTCGAGGGCACAAGGAAGATTTTGGTTGTATTTGTTTTCACTGTTTGTTCCAAATAACTAAATATTAAAAAATATCAGGTAACAATGTAATTGGTGTTGATACTCAAGTAATACTCAGGAGACAAAGAGAAAATATACAGGTTGTCTGTTTCTTGAAGCTCACAAGTTGAATTTAGAAAACCTTTACTGCTCATAAAGTTTGTTACATGTACATTTCACTAATTGGGGCAATAGATATTAATGCTAGAATAAATATATTTTCAGTACTTTTAGTAGAGCACTGGTTATTCAGACAGGAAAATTAAAGAGTCTGACGCAAAGGATAACTATTCTCAATTAGGCTGAGTAATTGGACACAGGAGCTCTGATAAATCAAATGATGTATTTTTGCTCCCACAGGATTTACCTTTTACAGGTGGTGATTATGGTACAGGGTATGGTTACAGGCAAAAGCCCACATTAGTCTTTTTTTTCTTCAGAAGCTGGAAGACAACTCACGAGACAAAATTTCCAATGAGAGTTTGAAAGTTTTGAGCCACAACTGAGTTCAGATTGAAAAAATGGCATCACTCACAGCTGGCCGGGGAGCAAATCCATACTAGGATGCTTTTCAGCAGAACTGACTCACTGCAAGTAATTTCAACCTGGTGCTCAAAGTAGCAGACAGGGCAGCTTCACCAGTGTCTGTGCTGAATGACTGCTGAATGATTTATCAAGTTGCAAGTGGCAGTTCTGTGGGGCATTGCACCTGAGCAGAATGCAAAAGGGATAGGAGTCTTCCAGGTTCATAGAGGACTACCGCTGCAGCCATCTGGGACATTTGGAGTGTCACTGCAAGGTTTGACAGGGGACAGACTGGCACATTTGTTACTTTTGTCTAAACCACTTTAAACTCTGGATAAACAGCATTTTCATATTTAAAAAACATACCTTAGAGGCTTTACTTTTTTAAATGAAGCTGCACTTTATTAATGCACAATTTTATAATGCATTCAAACATTTGTGTTTTCATTCAACAACACAATTACTCCCTAATTATAAGTTGAGGAATATCAATATTTATAAGATAACATTGAGATAATTTAAGGCAACTGTAAATGTAATTTTTATTTTATGTAAACTTAAAACATTTAAAAACATCACTAAAATATTTTTGTGTAATCTGTTACAAAATAATTTTTGAATTCTGTGAACTTATTAGGGTTTACAGTGTACTGATCTTGCCCGATTGTCCTAAGAATCAAAACAACATCTAATGTTAGCCACCAGCTGAACATCAACTGTACTTGTAAATTTAACTTTACATGCATCTGCACTTCTCCATCAATGACGAATTCAAACACTCTTGAAGTCGATGCCTCATGCATAATGAGGCAACACATCTACCATTATAAGCAGCCTCACTTCTTTTGCTAATGTTTTAACTCACTACGGTGATAAGTTATATGTTCAAAGTGTTTTAAATCCAGTGTGAGTATTCACAGAGCAGCAAAACCCAGAGGGCTTATCATGTGGCTCTCCTCATTAAAAAATACATTTCATCTTGCTTATGCAATAGCTATTAACATGGAAAAGCAACATGAAGCCACTAAAACAACTCTCAGTCATCAGACAATTATCCACATTTTCATTCAGTTAAAATGCATCTCTGTGTGCATTAAAAGCAAGACAAGGAGTGTAGCTTCCTTTTTTGATCTTTTTTCTTTCTTTCTTTTTTTTGGTCAAAGAATTTAAAAACCTTTCATTTTGAAACACAGGACCAATTTAATTGTACCACTCAAGTGCTCACCCTGTGAATTTATTCCAAAGTGTATAGAAAGGTGGTCTTACTAGATAATTTACATCCTGGTTCCACTGAGTTCAGCAAATGAAACATCAAGTATAAAAAGTAGAAGACATGGAAAAAATATAGTTTATAATTTTATGCTCATAGAGAATGACTTTACAAAGGCATTTTAAACTTAACTTTACCAAAGGTTTGGCTGTGTGGTAGCTGTTTCGGGATTTAAGGGTGTGACTAAAATGTTTGCATTGGTCCCAGAGGTAACACTAAAGTGGTAAATGGTAAATACACCTGTACTTGTATAGCGCCTTTTTTAGTCTTC